CACGTTGGCTAAATTGAAATTTAATACCGTTAAGACGGAAATTTTAATAAATTCTGGCGTGCTGTGACAATTATCTTTGCTAAGGGGTCTCATTGGCTCAATTAAGTTATGGGCGACAGAGAGAGGAGAGAGAGAGAGAGAGCGAGGTGGGTATCTCCGATGTGGCTAAGAGGTGGAAACATTACATGGTGATTGACCAAATTTCCAATGTAAATTAGTGTAACTTTATTAACCGTTTTTATCAGCTCTGCATCCTTTATCCTCCGTACCAACTGACCATTGGTACTCTTCATCTTCTTACAATTATACAATTAAAGCCAAGTTAGCAATAGTTCGCCAGTCGCTTTTCTCATGCCGTCGTTTTGGTGCCGATTGGAGATTCTATAAAAAGCCAATTTCTTTTTCGGCTGATCTTTTACACAGGGTGAAGGCCTTCTTCTTCTCCGCACAGCGGAACTGCACAGAAAATACTTTCACAGCTTAGATTTTTTTGCTTTGAAATAAGGTAAAGGGAACTTCGTTCAAAACAAATTGCCTATGGTCCGCCTGAGTCTTTTGTTATTAATTCCCTACTTAAATCACTACACATCAGATAATGCAATAGTTTTTTTCATACCTCTTCGCACACAATGTCATGTCAACTTCATATCTCTAAACACCGCACACACACACACATACATATTCATATGCATGTTAGAACATTTATCCCTGCACCAAACTATATGAGAGAGCAAATTCATAACCACATTTGACACTTTGGTGACAAGCTATTTATCTAACCACCGCCAGCAGCAGCAGCAGAGCGGTTATGTGTGAAGCGTGACAGCACGCACTTGCCAAGTAGCGAGTTTCGTGTAACCAACCGAGCACAAAGTGGCAAAAGTGAAGTGAAATGGAAAAACACAAGTGAAAACGGAAAGCACCGCCACTGCGGCGAAGCAGACAAACATGAAGAGCAGAGCAGTCAACACGCACCAATTAAATGATAAACGGTTCTCATAAATTCGTGACAAATAAACGCATTTCTCACAGCCAAAGCCATGAGGAATAGCTGACGCGGAGATATACATTGTGTAATATTATTCAATAAAACCATATGCTACAGCGCCGGCTAGCGCTCAAACGCGTTCGAAGCTCATCAATAATTGTGTTATTAATTTTTACATGCACAGCTGATGATGGCGGCGGAAGTAGCGTGTGGTGGCTCTGATGCAGAACGCAATCAATATATCTCAAGCGAACTGAATGGAGATTACATGCAACTATTCATGGCATTATTGTAACAGCATATGTTAGTATGTAATCTGCTGATAGCAAAGAATAAATATCAGCTAAGCTGACAATGGTAATGACAAATCGTTTTTACTCATTCTGAAAGCGTAAAATACCATCAAAGTGAAAGTATTTAAAGAATTTTGTTTAGCCATAACTAAAAAAGTAAGAAAAAAAATATACAAAAATTAATATCTTTTATTGAATCGTAATTTATTTTCAATCATTTATTGTCCACCAGTGTAATGATTTATGAAATATTATGGCTAATGATTGCATTTAATATTTTTCTCTTTTTTTTCTATTAGACTTAATTACATTGGGAAATCAATACCCAAGCGAAATAGAAATAAATTCACGGTTATCAGTTAATTTACAATACGCGCTGAAATGTTATTCAATAAAGCAATTAACCTGCAATAAGCTTTTGTGTTCTGACTAAATAACTTATCTATAAAAAAAAATAAAATATCAATATAAACTCCACGAATTTATATGATTAATAACAACAAGAAATGAATGCTGTTCACTAAACAATAAAGGTAAATAAGATGAAATAATTTAAATAAAAGAAATCAAAAAAAAAAATTATTAACAAATATATTTAATACAAATAAAATTCAGTACCTTAAAATAAAATAAATCAAAAAAATATATAAAATCAGATTAAATTAAAACTTAAAATGACCATTAACATTTAATTAAATCTCTTATTAGAAATTCAAATAAGTACAATAAAAATTAAAAAATAAAACAACAACATTACTTTCAAATGATGAAAAAAAATATAAGAATCAAATACAAAAAACGCTAAAAAATACAGAGAAAAAATTATAAATAAAAAATTAACACATTTAATATATACAAAAAATTTAATAAAAAATATTAATATTAATCAAAAATTAACAAAAATATTAGAAAATTATTTAAAGCGTATTAAACTAAATTAACTAAATTAAAGGCTAAATTAAAAATTAATATAAAATAAAGTTAAATCAACTAAAATAATAGAAAGTTTAATAAAGCAAAATAAATTTAAGTAAAAAAAATAACGCCAAACAAAATAACTTAAAAAAATTAAAATAAAAAAAAAAATAATATAAAAACTTGAATTGCAATAAGATAAAAAAATTAGTTAAAAGAAAAATGATCGAAAACCTAATTAAAAATTAATATAAACTAAAACAAATAAAATAATATAATATAAATATAAATTAAATTAAACAAAATTAAATAAAATCAAATAATCGCATTTATTAAATAAAATAAGACAAATTAAAACGAAATAGAGTCAAATTTAATTGCATCAAAGCAAAATAAATTAAATTTAAAAAATTAAAGTAAAAAACAAATAATATAAATTTAATTAAACTACTAACATAAAATTTAATCAATTTGAAGAAATTAAAAAAATAAACAAATGTAAATAAAATAATTTAATATAAAAATATGTTAAATTAAATTAAAAAAATTAAATAAAATAAATGCGATAATATAAACTAAAATGAGACAAATTAAAGTAAAATAGTCCAATTTGATTACATCAAATCAAACTAAATTAAATTTAAAAAATAAAAGTAAAAAAAAAAATAATATAAATTATATTAAATTAATAACATAAAATTTAACTAATTTAAAGAAATTAAAAAAAATATAAACAAATTAAATAAACCAAACTTAATAAAATAATATAATATAAAAGTAAATTAAATTAAATTAAAATAAAATTGAATAACATACAATAATATTAAATTAAACAAAGCACAATTAAAAAAATGAAATTTAATAAAAATAAAATTATATAATTTAATATAAATGAAACATAGTAAAATAAGACAAAATAAAATAAAATAATATGAAAACAAGCAAAATAATATAAAATAAACCAAAATCAAATTAAACTAGTATTAAATTACATTGAATAAAAAATAATAATAAAAAATAATAATAATAAGTAATAAAGTAAAAAAAAAAAACTTAGTATTTTAAAGTAATTAAATATATTGCAAGTAATTAAATAAATCGAAATAAGAAACTTAAAATTAATTCAAAGATATATATAAACTAATATAACAAATAATAAAAAAATTAAACTAAATTTTAATAAGCAAAAAAGTACAGTTTAATTATATTTAATTAAATTTAAATGAAAAGAAAAGAAATTTAATTTAAATTAAATAAAAAAACTTAGCAAAATTGCTTAGAAAATAATTAAAAAATAACTAAATATAATTTATTCAAATAAAATAAAATATAGCAAAATATATTAAAATCAAATAAAATTCGATCAAAAAAGGTACAGTATAATAATAATAAATTTAAAAAAATAATAAAAAAACATTTAAACAAAAATAAACACAATTTAGAACCTTAAAAAGATTCAGTAGAATTAAATTAAATAAATAATGAAATAATATTATTCTTCTTTAATATAATCGCTTACGGAATTATAGGCGAATTATCAATGACGCGTCAGTTGTTCATTCTCCTCACAGTTTGCCGAATGGAGCTCATCTTCTACCTCTGCTTCCACCAGCGAGTACTACATCGTCTTTACTTTTCGATTTCTTACACAGTCCAAAGTAGCAGTTGTTGGCAAAAGCGATTCTGTGTTGGATTTCCCACTGACATTGTAGTTGGTGTTAATGATGGTTCCAAAATAAACGATCATAAACGTCAACAGTTACGTCGGAGCTGAGTCGCGAATACGATAATTGTTTCTTTGACGACAGGTGATATTTCTTCTTGCCTCCGTCCACTACCAGACCCAATCGCTTGGCTGTTTTTTTATCAATTCTCATGATAATGAGTGAACTCGTCTGAATTCTCGCTTGGTACCGAACTTCTGGGAGAGTATCTTTCCAATTCTAACTTCACAACTGGTATTATGCAGTATCAACCCGTCATTCATGAGTTTTCGTTACGGAGACTGAGTTTCTCGACTGTTGCGACGAGAATTTCTCGACTTCTGTGCTCACCCGGTCGTTAAAGTTGCCAAACGAAATTTTGACATCATTGTGAGGGTAGAACTCGCGTGTTCTAGGCGCTCATAAAAAGCTTCCTTCACTTTCGTCGAGGCAGGAGCGTGATTTAGATCGGACTATGGCGAGACATTCATCACCCGGGGTGAATGTCAGAACTCGGCGATCCAATACCAAATTTGCGCTTATGTGTATGGACGCTGTATTAGATTTCACAGAGAACCAGAATTTTCCGTTCTTGTCTCGTGGGTGATGCCAGCCTTTAGTATTGGAAGAACATCAATCAGCTGTGTTTTGACACCTTCCCAATTAAATGACCGAAAATTTCAGATGTATAAAAAAAATTAAATAAATTAGTATATAATAAAATTTTTTAAATATTGAATACAAAATAAAAATTACTCAAGAGACTTTTTTCCATCTATGCAAGGGCAAGCAAAGTTAAGCTTTGCTAATTACTCCACAGAAAATCGCAACTTTGATGTGTGAAAAATCACAAAAAATCTCGAAAATCAACATCATTAGAAAACAATTAACAATTTTCATATCATTTGAATGCTTAATTTGTGCGCTCATTTAGGTTTTCTAAGAAAAAATGTGAAGAAATCTCATTTCATAAATTCCTCCAAGGCGATCATCTGTAACAGCTTGCGGTATTGCTATGGTTTGTAGTTTGGAACACTTTTGGAATAAAATTTCAAAATTTTTACTCAAAAAATTGTATTTTATTTTATTGTTTATTTACAGTGGTTATCAAGTGGGCTATCGATGGATGTAGGTATTTAAATTTAATATAGAAAGAATAATTGTATAAAATTTGATTTTATATTACATATTTATTCAGAATGTCTTTAAAATTTATTAAAATAAGAAAAATATACACAAAGTCAGCTTTCCAGAACTTTTAGAAGATAAATTACCTATAGGCTGTATAAAGTCATTAAATTTATTAATGTTTCAGCTAAAATTCCAACACCGTCAAATTCGCTTCCTTGTTTTTGGACTTACTGAATTTAAGGGTGAATCAATTCTCAGGTTTACTTAAATATTAAAGCAAACTTAATATATTTTTATATGAAAATTTTATTTATAAAAAAATTATGTATGTGTATGTAAGTGCTAACAACAACAAAACCAAGTCATTTGGTTTGTGAACCTCAGAATCCTGTAAATATCTGTTTGACTAAGACTGTCTGCTTACCAAACCAACACTCAACCGCGATTCAATAATTTAATACGCAGACAAAGCAAAAGTTAATTGAAGTCTTAAGTTAACGGTAGCTGCACAAATTATAGATACGCGTCTTTGTTTGTTTAAGCTAATGCAAAGTCACCAAATTAGCGGTTGAGAGAATAAAGGATACGGCTGTGTATTGGAGGCAAAGGAGATAAAAGGCAGAAATGTATTATATGTATATGTGCATATTTAAATCTGTGTAGATGTGTGCTAAATGATAAAGTATTTACGTACAATTTTATTTTGTTTAGATTAACCCACCGCACATTCTGAATACTTAAAAGAAATACGAATATATTTATTTCATTTGAAAGTCTCTACACTCAGCCGTAGACTATATTTCTTATCCCTTCACCTATGTACGAGTATAATTTGCGCTTTTGAAATGCTTAAATCAAGAAAAAACAACAATACCTCAAATTTCTCCAATCAGTAATGAAAATGTCAGTATTGGGCAGCAGCATTGAGTAGAGTGTGTATGTATGTAAAGAGCGCTTTTTCCCAATTTTCAATCACTTTTTGGTCATCTTTTAGCAATAATGCGCTGACTATTCTCTTCCAAGTCGTCAATCGTGTAGGACTTACAGGTATCTGAGTAAGCAAGCCGTTTCACATAATAATTGTCCATCGGTGGTAAATCATACGATATTGGAAGCCACGCCACAGGTCCACGACGGAAAACCAAAAGTTTGCTCCAACAAATTGATTGCCTCGTTGATTGTTTGACATGCAACGCCATCTTGTTGGATCCAAAGGTAGTCCAGACCCAATGATTATCTCTCCCCATTACTTACATTACGGGCGTAGACACCGCTTACGTGATTATAGCCGATTGGCTGCGCCATTCGTCTCCTATATTTGCTTTTTAGCGCAAAGTGGAAACACTACGCACAGCAAGGTTCTTCTCTACCTGAACTTTCCAACAGGGCGGAGGTCTTCCTCCTCCTCTGCTTCCATCAGCTTGTACTGCATCGACAACTTTCAAAACTGGAGTATTCGCTTCCATCCGGACTACTTGATTCGCTGAACTATTGTATATCAATGCCGCCGTATAACTTGAACCGCTCATCGTTTCATCATCTGCGATATTCGCGCAAAGAACCATAAATCTCACGCAAAACCTTTCTTTCGAAAACCACTAACACCAACTCATCAGATGTTGTCATCGTTCATGCTTCCGCACCATATAGCAGGACGGGCAACGATGAGGGACTTGGAGAGTTTAGTTTTCGTTCGTCGGGAGAGGACTTTACTTTTCAATTGCCTACGCAGAAGGCCTGTTGGCAAGAGTGATTCTGCGCTGAATTTGTACTACTTCAAATTTATGACTGTCAACAGTGACATGGGAGCTAGGTCACGAATGCGATAACTGATTGTTTGCAATGAGACTATGTCCTCGTCACTACCAGACCCATTGTACGCTTCTTTATCAAGCCTGGAGAAAGCAGAACAAATGGCGCGATTGTTGAGGCCGATAACGCCAATGTCATCGGCGTACGATAGTAGTTGTACACTCTTATAGAAGATTGTGCGTTCTCTATTCAACTCTGCAGCTTTTTTTATTCTCTCCAGCATCAAATTGAAGAAATCACACGACAAGGAGTCACCATGACTGAAACCTCGTTGCGTACCTAACGGCTCGGAGAGGTACTTCCCAATTCTGACTGCGCTTCTGGTGTTGTCCCGCGTCAGTAAAGTTCCCATATCTTTATTCACCATAACCAATTTCTATGGTTAAATAAGAGAATTAAATCTTCTTTCAACCAGAATTTAAGGAGCCCTCACAATGTGACTCGGAAAGTTGAATAAGCCCGCAGAAATCATTTTCTTAAATTTATCGCTCTCAAATTCTGCATTATTAAGGAGCTCAGATCCCAAAGGCTAGTTCGGAGAACGCTACCAAAATAGAAAAATTATGGATGTGTTGTTTTTACTGATTGGAGTGGACCGTCTTTCGCACGGGTTACTAGATGTAAAGTATGTCCTCATGCCCATCTCTCCATGGGTTTGTAAAGGCGGGGAGCAGAACTTTATCACGTGATTTCATTATTCTCCATCGGTTTATAGTCAACCTTGGTGCCAATTGGAAGGTACGAAATGAAGCAAGGTCTTCCACAATCTTGAAAGGTGTAGTAGAGATCTCGTCCTTCCTTCACTTTCACCAACAGCTAATGAAACGAATACTTTCTGGAGTTGTGCCATCCATCCTGAACTTGTCACCGTAACCTGTGTCTCTTTATTCTTTTTATTTGCCGAAATATATCAATGTCTTCGTATACTTCGTACATATTTTATAACAGCTATTGCCAGTTCTTCCACATCTTTCGCTTGGAAACTCCTAGCGTCGACTCTTCCATCTACTGACTTGCTACTGTTAAATGGGAGCCATGACGCGAGTCATCTTGTGGTAGAAGTAGCTCTACTGCAAGCAATTTCAGCTACAATGTTATAACCGTTTCCTACTTTTTCGTCCTCTTCGCACAACCAGGCGACGTCAGCAAAGCTTATACCATATCTAGAGCTTTAGGTAATGACTCATAGAGAGTGATCTTTATTTGAAGTTTTCTGGAACAGCAGATTTGTACCAAATGCGCGACTGCAAGGGGACGTCGGTATTGAGGCAAGCGGCTCACTATATAAGAGTGTACTTTAGTTATATCTCCATCCTCCGCGAGGCTGTACGCTGTTCCCGGAGAACGCTTTTATAAAAAATGAGCTGCAATGAAGAGATAAAGACAGCCTTGGCTGAGTAGAATCTTGCCGCACTTCATACCTGTTATTTAGTCCAGTAGGCTTTCAAACTCTTTCCTTAGAGTTTCTAACTAAAGCTTTGAACCAGAACGGCGATGTACTGTACTATGCAGTGAACCTCAATGAAACTGTCATCGATTTGAGTTCTATTAATTCGCTTATTTCACTTACACCTCCTGCGAACTGAGCTTTTATGATGAGCTGGTCGTCTGCTTGACATAACTCTCCAGCCTGAGGGACATTAAGGAGCGTGTTTCCTCACCCAATCACACCGACTTTTTATGGAATATTCATAAAGGTATTTTTATTCCTTTCCGGCACTCATAAGCGCCAAAGCAAGGTTACTTCACACTCTTTCATGTAATATCTCATAATGCCGACGTCGGCATAAAAATAAATCATAAAGTAATCCGCCTATCTACTCCTCTAAGCTGAGTACTTTGTAGCATTGCAGTACCTTTAAGCGATTAAGCGAATTGGTGCATTCCTTGTGTGTAACTGTGTGTAGCTTTTCTTACATATATATATACTCGTATATATATATATATATATATGTATGTCTGTATGGCAAATACAGCCAATCTGCGACTACCGACTTTTCTACGTGTCCATGGCGCTTGTCACGTTCAACACATTTGCTATAAACAAAGAAGAAGAAGAAAAAAAGCATAAAAACACACTCATTTACTTGTTAACGGTAATTACTCACATTGTCATTTGGCGCTGATGGCATTGGTGGCTTTGTGTGCTTTTCAGTTTTTATTAACTTGTAATTTGTACTTTTTGTAAAGTTTTTTTTGTAAATTTTTTTTCCTGCCAACTGCATTTTTGGGCGTACAAATTCTAATGCAATTTTAATTTTTTTTATGAAAATCTTAGAATTTCGCTTCTCAAAAACCTCTTATCGCCATTTGTGTTTACAAACAACCGTTATTTATGCTAATGGCTGGTATTAAGTTCACATTTTGTCACAAATTTAGGTGTGAAATTTATGGGCGGAACGTGTTTGCAATGCGCCGGGCTAATCTTAATGTCACTTTGTAGCAGGTGACCAGAAAAATTCTTCATGGAAAAGTATAAATTTTTGAAATTTCATTGCTTTAGAGACTAAATGAAGAGGAAAGCTTAAAAGCTGCGGCTGAGAAAGGAGACTTTTACGATTGTGTTCATATTTCAGGACGTCCATGACATCTTCTATTGGGCAGAGCAACTGAGAGAAGTAGCCATCAAACTATTCGAGAGGAGGAGACCCACGAAATCTTATAACACTACCTTTGCGTATTTCCTGCACTTCAGCGGAATGGGCAGCAGTCTATAATGGAGACCACCTACAGAGGCTTGAAGCAAATAGCGATGATATTTCGATTTCTGTTCTTCTTCTTTACTGATAGACACCGCATATGCGATTACAGCCGAGTTAAAAGCAGTGGGGTATTCTCTATTTCTTTTTCTCGTTCCAGCCAGATCCTCCTTCACCTGCAAGTCTTCCTCGAATTTCATTGGCGGGTGCTGCGTCGAAAAATTTCAAAGCTGTATTATTCTCACCCACTTGGGTCACATAGACAGCGTAGCCAATATTTTACACTGCTCATAAGTTCATCGAGTGCGACACTTGCAGTTACCAACGCGAACAGAATGATAAATTTTGGGGAAAACCTTTCCATCGAAAACTACCAACTTCAACCCATCAACTGTTGTCATCGCGACGGGACGGGAATGAAGAGGCACTTGTAGAGTCTGGTACTTGCTCGACGAGAGATGACTTGTCTCTGCACAGTCCAAAGTA